TTAGGTCTTGTTGTGTACGTTGGTTAAGCTGGAGTCCTGTGGCTTCCGATCACACACACACACACACACACCCACACACAAACACACAAACACACACACACACACACACACACCAACACCAACCATTGAAAGAGTGACAGGGAATGGGTTTGGTTGGGAGGAAGAGAGAGACGAGGTTGCCACCACATCAACGATGTGTCTGTTCCAAGTCAAGACGTGAGCGCTTTAAAAGGTTGTGATGCTCTAGTCCAATGTCCTGTTCACAAACCGGCCGGCCGTGTGCTCTGAGGTCAGCCATCAGGATAGGGGGCAACCTTCTGGGATTTGGGTTCAAGAATGACCTCTGTGCACATAGCAGTTTGGATTCCCCCCCCCCCAATTGTTTACCCTGTCTCGTCACGGCCATTTTTCCAGGCTAACCGGCCCCAAGCATGGCAGACTGTGTTCCCTTCATCCAGGGAATGAGGCCCAGGTCTCGACAATTTCCACAACCCAGAGGTGTGACTCCATCATCTCTTGCTTTTCTCTCTTCCAGGGGTCCCAATCCCAGCAAACTGATCCAGCAGTTGCTCACGCTGCGGCCAGATCAGCAGCTGAACATCTTCAACACGTTGAAGGCGCACCTGGTGGATAAAGGGTTGCTGGCCGGCTCGGAGGAGGCGTAGGCATCCCGGGGGGGGGGCTGGCTCTCCAGATGGGACTGTACCAGGCAAGCCCCCACCCTTCCACCCCGCTCTGAGGAAATCCTCCTCCCATCTTGCCAGATGTAGGACAATAACCGAGCTTCACGTCTCTTCCCCATCTTCTTTTTCATATGAAAAGTTTGCATTTGAGGGATTTTTTTTAAAAAATGATATATCTGCATGGCTGCGGTTTCCAGTAAGCAGATGGGAGTTTATAGCAGGGAGCCTGGCCGAGCAATTTAGAGGGCACCGTACCCCCTTCCGCCCCGCCTGCCCTGAGCTGCATGGTGGTATTTTTTTTTTTCTCCCCTCAAGGGATGTGCCGAAAGCGGTACCCGGTTGATTCCGATTTCTCTCATGTTAATAGGTTGGCAGAAGAGGCGACAGACAGAAAAAGGGGAGGGGGGGAACAAAGGAAACCATGCTGAACAAAGGGTCTGGACTGCAGGTGTATCAAAGTGACCTGGATGATGCCCCGGAATCCCATCACCTGTGAATTCTCTTTTCACCGTGTGATGAGTCCAGGGCGTAGTCCCTTTGGTGCTGTGCAGCTACAGTCCAGGTGTTTGCACAAGTGCCTGGCACACCGTGAAGTCAGGACAGTGTTCCCACAGGCTGTGGAGCCACCTAGCTATAGAGTGGGGTGTCCTCCCACCCACACTGCCACATATTTTTCCACCATATTACGTTCATTTCCTCAGTGCTGAAGGACGGGTAGCTTGCCCCTTTCCTAAACCAATTGGCATTTCCCTCTGTTTAGGAAGGCGAGGACCCAAAGTCAGCTTGATAGCTGGGAATCCTAGAGGACTTGCCACTACGTTGCTTTTAAAAAGTCTGGCAGAGGGAGCATCTCTCGCCGTTTGGGGGTGGAGGGGTCAACCTCGCCAGACGCTTACAGTAATGAAGCAAAAGTAAAGAGTTTGTGGAAGGCTCCGGAAAGGGAGAAAGGTTTTGTTCTTGATTGGTTTGTATTTTTAATGGATTGGGGTTTTATTTTCACAGATACTACTGAGTGTTGCTTTCCTTGCCAAAGGAAGCAAATGGCTTCCTTCCCTTTCCCAAGGATGCGAAAAATTAGCAGATATATGGGTATTCAGGCAAAACCGCTGGCCTGCTGAGAACTTGGAAGGGTTCAAAAGCCACCAGAGATTGCCCCCAACTTTCGACCAACGTCTGCACGTAGTTTGGGTAGCCGTTTGTCTGGTTTCCCATAGACGGGACCGTAATTAGAACTCTAGATCCCGTAGCTGAGATTGCAGAGGGAGCTGAAGGGGCTGAATCTTCTGCTCTGGAAAAAAAAAGAGTCTCTGTACAGAGAAAGCTAGGTGTTGGCTGGAATTGTTCTCGCTTGGACTTCCTCCTTCACGTTGGTGCCTGTTCCTTTGTGGGGGGGAAAGAGAGATTTTATGGGTGAGGAGGAGGAGCACGGCATCCTCGTCGATCCACCAGCAGTCTGAACTTCTCCCCCACCGCTTGGCTCTGAAATGGCCTCTTCCGTGAGAATCGGGCCTAAAGTCAGTTGTAGGATGGTGCCGTTTCTAGGCTGGAGGTTTTGCTTGAGGACTCCTCCATCAGCACCACCTGCAGGTTCTGGTTCTGACCGCATGGCACCCCTGTGTTTTTTTTTCCTGCGGGAGACTACACAGCCGTTGGATACCGGTCGAACTCCTCTGGCTCTGTGCTGTGGAATCCCGGGGTTAGAAGTCCCGGAAGGGACTTTTATGCTCTGCTGTAGTTCAAGGGGAAGCAAACAAACTCTCTAGCAGGGAAGCCCGAGTCTCCCACTGGCTTCAGTTCTCGGGATTCCCTAGGGTGAAATCAGACATGGGGTATGGTTACCTGGGTGGGACATGAATATCATCAAAACTGGAGCCTTCCCCACACACACACACAAGCCGTTCTCCTGCCTCTTCACCAAAGTGGTCAGCTGCGTGAGGAGGCACAGCCCAGCTGCACAGCCGGCGTTGTTCCCGTCGTGCCAATCCAGGGGGGGAAGGGGTCAGGGGCCAGGGTTGAGTTTTGCCAGGCATCGGTGGAGCTGCTGTTTCTTGCCAATCCAGGGGGGGAAGGGGTCAGGGGGCAGGGTTGGGTTTTGCCAGGCACCGGTGGGGCTGGGGTTTGTATTCGTATCCCCAGTGATACGAATACGAATCTCTCACGCCTAGTGGCCATTGGAGCCATACCGAACTGAGGGAACGGTGCCTCTTGTTTAGAAAAGGGGCAGCCAAGGTTTCAGCGACCGGCTCCCTCAGGTCTCCGGGCTCATTTCCTGCTTTGACAGAGTCCATGGAATTTCTGCCCAGCCCTTGGTCATTCCATGGCAACGTTGTATTAAGGCAGTGAACATTTGATTATTATTTTTAAAATTCTTGTTATCTTAGGTTTCCTCTTTTGGGCAATCAGCATTAGAAATGGTCTGTGTTCGAGTCCAGGAGGACAAGGACCTCTTGTGTTGCAATCCTTTGAATAGGCAACAATGGGACTAGCTTGTCCCTCTGAGGATAAAGCATGAGGCTGGTGGGGGAGAGAGAGGTGGAGATGATCTAAAGTCTGGGTTTGCGTTCTTGAGCGTGATGTGAGCTGCCAAAGGAATAGAGCCAAGGTACCAGGCTGTTAACTGATACAGAGACGGAGACCCTAAGGCTGGCCATCGGGGGAGCGTAGCTGTCATCTTCCTGCCCCAAAGCCTGGCATTTCCATCCCAGCACCGGGATTCTCCTTTAAAACCTGCCCAGTTTCTTCCTGGTTCTTGCCTGCCAAAGATTCTCCCACGCGTGCCCGTGGGGCCAGGGGTTGTTGTATTGAGGAGCGGCAGCTGGCTTTCACATTCCCTGAGCTACACAGAATGAGGTGCGAGGAAGGGTCCAAAGGTGTGCCAGGGTGCTGCTTGCAGGGACACAAAGCAGGTGATCTTTTGAGGTAGCACCTGGATGCTTGGCTGAGTGGCCGGCAGTGGCCGGAGACCTTGAAGGTCCATTTCCTTCAACCTCCCTGAGTTTAGTAGAAGGGTTGTTTTTCTGCATGGAAACATTCAGGAAACATGTTTCCTAAGGGGTTCCGGGCGTCCAGCAAACTAACTTTGCGAAGCCCTGCTCGTTCTCTCCCCAGCCGAAGAGCCTGCCTGTTTTGTTGAGTGTCGGTAGCTGAGCAGAAGGATGGGAGACAAAGCGTGTGGATTATTGCATCATTGTGTGTGTGAGAGAGAGAAAAAGTTCTGGTTTGGTTGTGATTCCAAGAGATGTGGCACAGAGAAGCCAGTTTTGGGTCAACACTCTGTTTCCAAAGGGGGGGGTCGCTGCCCCTCGTGTTTACTGCAAGATGGCTCCCCAAAGGGGTGTGATCCTGGCTTTGTAGAATGAAGGAAGGGTTTGGGCATGCAAGCAATAGATGCCTCCTGAACTGACACAGTTTCCTAAGCCATGCCTTGCATTTCTGGGGGGCAGGGGTGGCTTGCAGGGGTGGCATCGCTTCACATACAGCCAGCACGTCATCGGTGGCTAAAGCTGGCCATCCTCGTACCCACCAGCATGTCAGTGAGAACTTGTGAACCCCGTTACGCGTGTAGCTCCCTCAGAAGATGCAGCTTGAACTTCTGTTTCCTCTCCCCAGCCCTGACTTGGTTCCTGTTCTTCAGATTTGATGTACGTGGTCCCTCTTCATATCATCCGCTTATTTCTCCGTGCGTTGTCTTTTGACGAAGGGGTGTCGGTGGAGCTTTTCTGTTTCTGGTTTATGTTTCTCTTGGTCTTGCAAAACCACCCACGGGCTTGCATCTGGATTTTGTTATTTTATTTTTGTTTTTTTGTTTTTTAATTTTTGTTTTATTTTGACTGTGAAATATTGTATAAAGGTATTTTACCCTATTTATATACTGTAATGTTAAATAAAATGTACCAAAACGAGTTGCTTCTGTGTGCAGTTCTTCAGGACCAGCAGAAGAAAAGGTGGTCCTGGACGGGTTGAAACAACGTTGGCAGGAAAACTCGGAGATGGAGGGGCGCTGGTCTGGGCGTCTGGATTCGTAATCTGAAAGCCCAGATCTGCCCACCTCTCCTGGAAAGGGTGGGTGACGGTACTGAGTTCCAGTTTCTACAGCTGTGAAAACAGCACCAGCAGCAACAGCATCTAACCTTGTTCTCCAACTGCCGGCATGGAGTATTAAGTTGAACGGCACTCTTCTCTTTCCAGTGCATGCGTGTGGCATATTTGTTGAGAAAAGTTGTAGAGCAGAAGTCTTTTGAGCAAAGACGCAAGTCGAGAAGGGCTTCCATGTGGAGCTACAGTTTACCAGCCGCCACCACCACCATGTAGAAAGAAGCTCTTTACCGTTTTGATGTGACCCGTATCGTCGAACGCAGGTTTGCTGTTAAGCTTTGTACGGTTTAGGAGGGTGCGTCTGAGCGGAGAGGTTTACCCCACTCTCTGAAGCATTTTTCATTGGCAGCAAGCAAGATCCCCCCCCCAAAAAAAAGAACCTAAAAGATCATACAGCCTCCAGCTAGATCTGTGCTCGTTCCCTGCGTGGTCGTGCAATATGGCCCAGACTCGGGTGAGAGAGCCGGGGTGCCGGTCTTCGTAGTCTCCAAGCTAAACAACTGAGGTTCCATCTTCCCCTCCAGCTTTCATTAAGCCATTTCCCCGAACCCGAGGCTGAGTTGTAGGGGCAGGAACTGTTTCTTGTTTGGGTGTTGTGTGTGTGTGTTGCGTGTCTTGTTCTTTTTTTTTTTCTTCAGCGCCTACTTCCTCAAATGGAGTGACACCGCAGCCAACCCATGAGCTGTGCCGTTGGGGGTGGGTTGTGCCTCTTTTCTTTTTTTCTTTTTTTATTATGCCTTGGCATGGAACTAAATGCAGTTAGAAAAGCTTTTGAAGAATCGGGCCCTCCCCAGAGCGCGTGGAGGGCTAGAAGTAAACCCAAGGCATAATGTTGGGTCTAGTGAGTCAACAGACCGAACTGGAGAGAACCAAGAGAGAGACTTGAGTGGGCTCTTTGTGGAGGATCCCACGGCAGAAACTTCACTTTTTTTTCAAGAAGGCCCTTGTGGATTTCTTTTTTAAAAGAAAAATCATTGTGCATCCTCTGTAGAGGTGAAAAAGGTCAGTGATTCCGAGACAGCTCCACGGACTTTCCCGCGGCTTGCATCAGGATGTCTCTCAAGCTGCCACGGAACTGGGATTTCGGCCTGAAAATGGACCGGTCGAAAATAGGTACGGCTTATCTTTGCTGATTTATTTGGGTCGCTCCTCTCTTCTCTCCACCGTCCACGTGGAGTGAGCGGCGATGGGACGGGCAGGTGGGCTGAGACAGAGAAGAGAGCTTCCCCAAGCCGTTCGGTTCCTGAATGGGGATCCGAAACCAGGTTCTCCCCGGTTCTCATCCCCTTCTTTGCCACCACACCCCACCGCACTGGGCTGTTGTCGCTGGTATTACTTCCTTCCTCACACCCTCCTTTTGCTTAGCTTTTGAGGTTGCTTCTCAGAAGTAAAACACTCCCCCCCCCGCCTGCTGCTTCTGGCTCTAAGCAAATTATACCTGATGGCAGGAACCTCTGTATGGGATGGGGCCTTTTTAGGGCCAGATGTAGATGAGCTCTTTGTATGTGTGTGTGTATATAAGGATACAGCTGAACGATCGTGATTTTCAACACAGAGCTTCCTTATTCCAGACATGCTGTTTCTTCTGCTTCTGCGGTTCGGCCCAACCTATCCGTTGGTGCAAGTCTGGAGAATTTCTGCCTCTAATTATCAAGGGCTAAGAACGGAAAATGTCATGTTTTAAAAGGAGATATAGGTTGCTTTCTCCTCCTCCCTGGGGCCAACTCATTTGACCAAAAAAAAAAAAAAATTTAAAATCAGCCAAGAAGTAGGGGGGATTCCCTACTTCTACATGGCTGCCCTGGTCTTATTCTCCCGTCACAGCCTCAAGACTTTTTGCGGGGTAGAAATTGGGAGCACAGGGCCTCCCCATGTTGGGTTGCATCCTTGCAAAGTTCCCATACAGTTTCCTGCCTCGTTATTTCCTCGAATTGGCGGCGTGCTGTTCCCGGAGATTCTCCTCATGTTCGGTCTGTGCAGTGTGATGAATTGTAACTGTCCAAAACCAGCTTTGTTCCCTTGGGTTGTCGGTTCTTGTTCAACAAACTTCCGACCCAGTAGACGTACACTGATTCATGGTCTCTCTACTTCTCTAGAAGGGGTGTGTGTGTGTTTCCAGGTGGGATGTCTGTCTTCATACTTAGGGTTTGAGGAGCAGGAGGCTCCAGATGTTCATGTTAATTTCCCAGGGTCATTTTTTTTTTCTCACCCACAAAACAAAAATCCTTTCAGGAGTAAAAAAGGGACTGACGGCACAGTGTGTTTTTATTCCTTGTGTAAAGGGTGGATCTAGATCTACCGAAAGCTCCCCGAGTCCCTCCAGGTAAAAAGAGGGACACAAACTGATGCTCGGGAGAGGTTTGCCTGATTTAGTTTTGAGTCTGCAGGATCCATTTCAAGCTCTTGCCACCAGCGGGTAGGACTGGAAGGAAGGAAAGGAGAATCCGGAGAGATTGCCTGGGGAAAAGGTGGCCAAAGAGGGCTTTCCAACCGTCATCGTCGTGAGGATCATTCATGATCATTATTTGCTTTTCATGAGTGATGAACCAATTAATACTTCTTAAAATTATCGTGCTAGATTCATTTAAAAAAAAAAACATGCCACAGGGGCTGAATACCCCCAAATAAAGAATGAGAAATGTCCAAAAAAAAAACATTTGGAAAGGAAAAGGATAACAATTTCATTTGGTGGGGAAGAAAATCAAATATGCAAAAAAACACAAACCCACCCAGCAATCCACTTTCTATCTCTGCGTTGGAGTTTGTGTTGCATTTAGGCAGCGACATTGTGTACTTTTCTGGGTATTGGGTTAGTTCCCATCAGAATTTATGTCTAGGCTTACTTTTTTTTTCTGGGGTGGGGCCCAGCACTTGTCTGTCCTGGGGGGGGGCGGTGTCCGTGCAGCCGCCTCCTTTTGATGAGATGTCTCTAGTTTACCATGAGGGAAACGGCTCTCCCGTGTCTTTCTCCAGAGTGTGTCTCTGTCGGTCTTTTCCCTCACATCCACCCTCGGGATCCCACCTGGAGAGCCCAGGGATTAAGCTCAGCTCTTTGGCAGGCAAAGCCGGTGCTTTACTCCAGAGTAAACCACAGCTCTGGTTCTCCCAGTGGACAGTAAAAAAAAATCACTCTTACTGTTCTGCATGCACCCATAGTTGGATGCGGCAAGAGATCATTCAGCTGAGAGAAGCTTTTGCAAAACCAGATTTACAGAAGGCAAAAACGCCGGGACTTTGCCTTTCCGCCGGGCGTTGTAAAAACCCACAGGCTTCCTCCTGAGCGTTTTGAAAAAGTGCAAACAGGAAGCAGCCAGAAAATGGCCTCGTGGGGCAGCGGCGGTGGTGGTGGTGGGGAAGCGTCATGAACGCATTGGGAGAGTTTCTCGTTTCCAGAAAGGCCATCTGGGCCCTGTTATGCTTTTTTGCAGGTCACACGTTGTCGGCACTGGGATGTGAGCCTAAAGCGGGGGCTTAAGCCCATGTTTTGCAACTGTACCCCTTGGGTTTGTCTCCGAGCCGAGGCGGCCCACGTTCATTTCCGCCTGTTTCCCCTCCTGCGTGATTTCAGAATCCAGACGCGGAAACATTGCCTCCGAGTGCTCCGGGAGGAACATGCTCTGCCATTTCCTGGCATACAGAGCAGCCTCTTTCAAGAGACGTCATCTTTCATGTATCTATTTATTTATTAGATTTATATCCTGACTATCTAGACTACGTCTACTCTGGGCGGCTTACATTAAAGATCATAAAACCAATTAGAACAACGATTTAAATCAATACTATTGGTATCATTCAAGGTGGAGAAAAGAAAATCAAGTACTGTATTGACAGGAGGGACCCGAGAGGTCCCGTTCCAAGCCATTGGCCAAACACACACTTGGGTTTCCCAGTTCAGAAGGCACAAGAAAAGAAAATCAAGTATTGACAGGAGGGACCCGAGAGGTACAAGTTCCAAGCCATTGGCCGAACACACGCTTGGGTTTCCCAGTTCAGAAGGCACAGCAGGTTGTGTGCCGAAAAGCGTAGCAGAGCCCCGGATGGTCTTTCTGCTCCCGGGAGGATGATGGTGATGTTTCTCGCCAGCCGCTTCCTGTTGTGCTTTGGTTGGAGTTCCCAAGACATTAAGGCTCTGGAAGGAGATTTTGTGATTTTCCATGAAAAGGATTTTCTTTTTTAAAGGGGTATGTGTGTGTGTGTGTTTCCAAAAACTGCTCTCTTTGGGGCGGCCTTTGCTCTCTTGGGAAAAACTGTGTGTTTTCCCCCAGCCAACAGGGGAACCTGTCAGGGCAGGAGATGCGGTCGGTCCCTGGGCTTCCTTTAAAAAGCCGATCAAGCCAGCAGCTCCCTGGGGCTGGAATATGTGTGTGTGTGTCTGTGTGTGTGGGCTTGCAAAGTTGTCATTTCGGGTTTTTCCTCTCGATTTCCCCGGCCAGCCTTTGAAAGCCCCAGCGCTGAGAAAAAGGGCAAAGGAAATGGGCTACAGCAAGGGCTAAAAAAAGAACGTACAAACAAAGGTTGGCGGAGGGACTGCTTGCGACACAAACAAACAATTAAATAAATACTGACTGACTAAAAAGTGTGCTGCTTGCTTTAAAAATAAATTCTGACTGCCTGACTGAAAAGAGCTGTTAGATAGAAAAATAAATTAATTAAGAAATAAATGCATAAATAAATCTGACTGAAAAGCGTGCTACTTGATAAATAAATAAATAAATGAACAAAACACACACACACAAAAGAACAGTGCCTTTATTTCCTGTAACAGGAGTAAAAATTC